CTCCTCCTCTCCTCCTCCTCCTCCCCCTCCTCCCCCCCCTCCCCCTCCTTCTCTCCTCCGCCTCCGCCTCCTCCTCCTCCCCTCCTCATCCTGCTCCTCCTCCTCCTCCTCTCCTCCTCCTCCTCCTCCTCCTCCTCCTCCTCCATCTCCTCCTCCCCTCTCCTCCTCCTCCTCCCTCCTCCTCCTCCTCCTCCTCCTCCTCCTCCTCCTCCTCCTCCTCCTCCTCCCCCTCCTCCCCCCCCTGGTCCTCGCACGGGTCCTCGCCCTCTGACCTCCTCGCCCCGCGCGCCCCCGGGGCCTCCGCGCGCCCTGGGGCGGAGCCCGCGGCCCGCCGCGCCGTCCGACGCACACCGCCGGACCCCCGCCCGTCTCGGGGCGGTCGCTCGCAGTGCGCCACCTCCGGGGCTCGCTCGGGTTCCTCCGAGTCGACTCGGGTCGATCTCGGCGGCCTCCGAGGCTGACTCCTACTGCTCGGCTTCGGACGTTGATGCGGGTTCCGGGTCCTCGCGGGAGGCCCACGAGTGCCTGCCGAGTTCTGCCGCTTCGGCTCCTCCCGGCTCGGCCCGCCGATCTCCGCCGGTCCGGCTCGTGCCGCTCGCCGGTGCGCTGCGTCGATTCGAGCCCAGGCTCTCCTGCACCTCCGTCGTGGGCGGAGCCGGTGGCCGCCGGTGGCCCCCCGGGTCCTGCCACATGCACGGCCCTTGGCATCGCTCGGACGTGTGCGTTTTTCCTTCGGCGAGGGCCATCGATCGGGTGTAGGCAGGACCCCAGGTAAGGTGACCCTGTTAGTCTTAGGGCCCTGGAGCCCCTAAATTGGCCAGAATCACTAAACCAGGTCTGCCGTAGCTGGTGTTTTTTTCGGGCGACGGCATTAGCAGAATGGGGCGGAGGGGCGTCCCCCAGTACACATCACTAAACCAGGTCCCACTAAACCCAGTTCTGCCAACGCCCGAATCGAGGAGCATCCTTGATCATCTGGCAAAACAAGCATGCACGAAACCGCCGCCCTCGAGGGGGTCCTGGGTCGGACGGGGCTAGGACGAGGATGAATCCGTTGCAGAGCGTTCCGGAACGCTCTCAGAGCCTCGCGGGGCCAGAGGCATCTTCCCGAGCCGCCAGGTCTTGGAGATTCTCGATGTATCCTCTACTCTCGATGTATCCTCTACCCTCGTCCTGGCTTCGTCTGCGGGGCGCGCGGCCTCCACCGAGAGGCGCGAGGGGGCGCGTCCGCGCTGGAGCAGCTGGAGGCCGCGCAGACGGGAACGCCCAACTCGCTCAAGTCCGACCGCGACGAGGCCGACCACCTCAGGACGCCGCTGGGAGGGGCGCGGGGGCACGCTCCTCCCCCTCCTCTTCCCCCTCCTCATCCCCCTCCTTCTTCTCCTCCTCCTCCTCCTCCTCCTCCTCCTCCTCCTCCTCCTCCTCCTCCTCCCCCTCCTCCTCCTCCTCCTCCTCCCCCGTAGCGATTCTGGCTCACGACTTACGGACCTCCTCGTTGAACTCGGCTCCACGGGCCCGGGGTCGAGGTGGAAGGGCAGCCCCTTGCAAGGCCTGGCTGCCTCGGCCAGGTTTTCCGCGACCATGTTTTTCCATCCAGTAGCCTGTGTCGGCCGCCGCCATCGTGGGCGCCGCGTTCTCCCGTGCGTGGCGCAGCTCCCGATAGGGCGGCCATGGCGCGCGGAGAAGCGCCAACCCCATCAGCACCTGCTCGTGAGATCGCGATCGCCGCACCAGCTCAAACACGGCTCGTGACAAAAGGAACTACCTGGCTTGCCTAACACCATCATGCGGGGATTGGGCATGGGCAGATTTTCAGCACAAGCATTGTGGGACATGTGGTGCTGTCTTCTCAAACGCAGCCGTTGCCTCAAATATCAGAAAATAGCTTCGAGAAGCAATCTGTGGAACAGAGCTATTGTCCAGTTCGCCGACACCGCAAGACGAGGACGGCGAGAGTGCAGAGTCGGACCCGGTCCTTATCTGCATCAAGGCCGCCAACGTCAGGCGGGGACTCGAAGGGGTGGGTGGTGCACACTATTAGCAGGCTCGGGAAGAGCTCAAGGCGGTGAGTGCCAGACCAGCAGACCCAGAGACCCACCGACCAGCTCAACGTCCAGCGCGAGCGCCTCTTGGGCAAGCAAAGCGACGCGTTCTGGTACCGCAAGAAGATTGAGGAAGCCACCGAGAAGTACGATGCGGTGGCGAAGGAATGCAGCGACACCTACACCAGGTCGCGAGCCAGCTCAAGGTCGCGGCGAATGCCGCGGCGGCCGAACTCGCGGGCCAAGAAGGTCCATCACAGTCCGCAGACACGCTCGATGGCTTCGCCAGGCAGAAGTTTGCCGCCGTCGCCATCTCGCCCGAGCTCCAGCAGGATATCAACGCAATGGCCGAGAAGCTCAACTGCGAGCGCAAGCGTGCCCAGTAGCTGCAGCATCAGCGGCCGCCCCCGCAGTTCGCGGATGCCGCGACGCCAGAAGACCAAGCTGCTGCACCTCGTCATCGTGCCCAGCCCGTCGGGGACGCAGCGGCGCAGGGGCCAGGAGGAGGCGCCGCCAGCGACGCCGACCTCATGGGCACCAACGACCCAAAGGGCATCGCAGCGGGCTCCGCGCGCATCTCCCAGGCCCTCGATCGAGAAGACCGCCGCCGCCACCGTGGGGGGTGCCGTCGGCGCCGCCGCCGCCGACGCCGCCAGGCGCCTTCGCCGGCGCGCTGCGCAGGCCCCTGCACCTCAGCCAGGGGCGGGCCATGCAGCAGCGGGCCAGTCAGTAGGGCGACGCTCGATCTGCCACAGTCAGCGGGAGTTGTTCGGGGCGCGTCGAGGCTTGCGTCGAGTCCGCAGTCGACGCGAAGCAATTCCAGGTCGTATGCTGCCAGGAGACCCAATTCATGGGGTCCGAAGTTTTGCTGGCCACCCAGTGGGTGGCGCGTCTGTTTCGCGGGGGGGGGCTTTCGGAGTGCGGGGCCGCTGCCTGGGGGGCAGCTGTCTTCGTCCGCAATGGCGCCTCGACTTGGGGGCCGCGAGAGCCGAGCTACAATCCAATGCGCCATCGGTGCGAGTTATCGCGGTAGCCTTGGAGGTGCCAGGGCGCGCTCCGTCTCTGTTGCGTTCAGTCTACCTCGCCGACAGGGTTGGACTGGGCGAGCTTGGCCTCGGCCTGCTAGCGGACCTCGCGCGGCCCGGGCGGGCCCGGCGCGTGCCGATGATACTTGCAGGCGGCTGCGACCTTTTCTCCCTCCGAGCTTCTCACGAATGCCGACTGCGCCAGGTCGGGGGCCCGCGCCTCGGCCCCCGAGGGGCCCTCCCTCTGCGCCAGGCAGGCCAGATCGCCGACCTTTTTTTTATTTCCGACTGCTTCCATGACAATGTGAGACAGCCCGGGGTCTTTACGGGGTGCCCTCTCATCCCCCGCGGGCCCGTCTACTTCGATTGAGTGGTGGGGTTTCCGTCCTTGGCCCCCGCGCTAGTCGAGCCCCTGAAGACCCCCGCTAAGACGCCCTTCGGACCCCGGACCCTCGCTGCCCAGCGGGCGCGCGCTGAGTCCAGATGGGGGCTTTCCTGTGCCAGAACCTGGGCTTTGAGGGCACGGGTGAGGCCCTGAACCAAACGCGCGGAAAACTGGCCTCTGGCCTCGCGGCCTACTTCAGTAAGATCATTGGCGCGCTCTCGAGAAGCTAAAAACTCAGAGGGCACCTGCTTCAAATTCGACGGGTGCCAGCTCGGGCCGCAGAGCGCCGTGCCGCGGCGGCTGGACATGCCGGGCGAACCCGCTGCGCTGGCTCGAGAATTCGCTGGCGGATGTGCGCAGAGCGCTCAATATGCAGTGCGACCCGTCTTTCGAGTTCCACGAAACCCCGGGGCCACCTGGCCGCACATAATGAAGACGATGATCTTGGAGCCTTCCTTCAGATCGCTCGAGCGTCAGCGTGAACGACCCTCGCCGATCTTCGGGGCGGGCAGCTTGACCGCGCCATCGCGAACGACCTGTTCGATTATCTGCGCGCCGATGCCGGCGGGGCGCTCGAACGGGAAGCGCAGGGGGGAAAACCGGCGGCGAGACGATCCGGAAAGAACGGCTTGCAGCCAGTATGCAGGGAGGCTTTGGTTTGGGGCGCGAATGGTCAAATTATTTTTCTTCGTGGGGGCCGTGGGGAGTGTGGGGGTCGCGAGATGGCGAGGGCTCTGGGCGGCCCGTCGATCCCTGGCAAGCCGAAGCCGGGCGACCCTCGAGAGTCCCCTGTGGTCCTAGATCCTTGAAAATCAAGCTTGCTATGCTATGTTATGATATGCTTGGAAATTCAAGCTTATGCTTGTATTACAACCATGCATTATCACAACTATCATTTCCGTTAAGAACCATATCAAACACCGACGTGCGACACCTGATAGTAGATATGTCGTTTTAGTTGTTGGTGTTGTGCGTTTTAGTTGTTGGTGTTGTGCGATTCCGCGCAGCGCATGGCCCGAGCCGTTGTGGCAGCGCGCGGGCGCCCCACGGCGAGCCGGGGCCCGAGCTGGCTGCGGCGGGCGCATGGCGCCAAAGGTTCTGGGGGGTAAATGTGAGCTCGATGAGGATGATCGGACAGGATAAGGGAATATAATTAACTAACTCCGATTAGATCGAGTTTTCGATGCGTATGCTAATGAAGTTGCCTTTCGAGTTTTCGATGGAGAGGCTCGGAATTATCGAGAGGAACAGTATGACCTCGAGAACTTCGTGGAGCTTTAAAGCTCCACGAAGTTCTCCAGGTCATACTGTACCTGTCAAGAGGTAAAAAAATCCAAGAAGAGCGGCGCCAATGCCAGCCACCGTTGGGCTCGTCTGACTACGGTCGTTGGAGTTCGACTCGGCAGGAGTGGGTCGACGAGCTCGTCACTGAATCCGAGGCAGGCGACGAGCTCGTTGACCCCGAGGAGGCAGAGATGGGAGGTGGATGTGGATGAGGGGCATGACAGGAGTCGCGCGCATGGGTTCCGAGAGGCTCCTCGCACCGAGGGCTTCAAAGACCATGAGCAGTTGGCCGAGCTCTGGGCGCAGCACATCCTGGACCCGATGGACTTCGACTACAGCGAGACTGTGTCGGGCCCAGGGATGTGCATCGACACGGACGCGCTGAAGAAGGCACACCCCTTCATCAGCGCCACCCGCGATGCCGTCCAGAACGCGAGCATCCCGCAGAAGGTTGCTGAGGTGGGTGCGCCGATGAGGAGATGCGATGGTTGGATGACGAGGGGGGCCTCTCGGGTTGGAGGAGGAGGAGGAGGAGGAGGAGGCGGGAAGCCAGGCGGAGAACGAGGAGTAGGCGGAGGGTGAGGCGGAGGAGGAGGTGGCGGAGGGGGTGGGAGTGGACGCGGAATGGGGGGTGGGCAGGAGGATGAGGCGGAGGAGAGGGAGGAGAGCGATGAGGAGGAAGTCCAGCTCCTGCCCAACGCCCCCTGTCCCTCCTCATCCTCACATCCAACATTATCCTGCGTGCACTCTCCCCTCCAAACCTAATCATCATCCAACTCCCTTCCCCTCCCGTTGCCTCATTCCTGCCGCACTCATTGTCCTGATCTTCCTGCTATAAGTCATCCTTTCGCTCTCTCTTCCCGCTATCTCGTGTCATCGACGCCGACGTCGCCCTCATCCGTCCCCTGCTTCTCGTCAGGTCCCGCACTGCTTCCCTCATGCCATTATCGCACTTTCCCTCGGCACCCTACATACAACCGTTCCCTTCTCTGTCTCACACTACCCGTTCTTCTCGCACTCCCTTCTTCATCCTGGGGCTCGCCCTCCTGCTCGCCGTCCTCCTGCCCAGCCGCCTCATCCGCGAATCTCTCATGCTCATCCTCATCGTTCTTCTCATCGTCATCCTCGTCATGTCTCTCCCCTGCTCTTTCTCCTCCCCACTCTCCCACCACCTCCATGTGGCTCTACTCTGCGCGAGGGATTGGTATATGGGTAGGGCCCCCTTGCAAGGCAGCGCTCGACAGGATCGCTCGGGCGAACGAGGAGGCCTGGAAGCTCGCTGACGCCAGGAAGGAGTGGAGCGCTTCCAAGGGCAAAATGATCAGGGCGATGCTGGCGCATGTGCACGAAGCTCTCAACAGCAGGACGCGTGGAGCATGGGGGGTATACGGGGTTAGCAGCGAGCAATTTGACGTTGACGACATTTGATGAGGGACGAGGACCGAGGAAAGGCTGACACTGGTGATGACGGGCGAAAGCGGCGACAACGACGGATAGTCAGAGGTCAGGTGAGGACGGTGAGATCAGGAGGTCGGCATGATGAGGCAAGGGGAGGGGCATTGATGGAGGCGAGGGATGAGGATGAGGAGAAGGAAGCAGGAGTGACAATGATGACGGGTTGGGGCGTCGGCCCGAGGACGATCCCGAAGTGGGCGAACATCTTCCTCGGCGATGCTGCGCCGAGTCGCGAAGATGATGACGACTCTGACTGTGGCGGAGGCGAAGACCGACAGCCGCCGCAGCAGGGCTTGCTCAAGCGCAGGCCAGCAGCAGCAGCAGCAGCAGCAGCAGCAGCAGATGCAGATGGGGACGACGGCAACTCAGCATCAGCATCAGAGCGCCTCAGTGACGATGACGAGCAGGGTTCTTTTGCTCCTGATGAAGACGAGGATGCTGGTGACGACGCTGCTGCTGGCGACTCCGAGAGCTGCGAGTGCGCCGGCGCCGACGACCGCGCGGAGGAGGTGCCCGAGGTGCCCGAGGCCGAGAAGGCCACGGCCAAGTCTCCAGGGGGCAAGCAGCCGCGGCGGTCGCTGGGCATGAAGGTGGCCAAGCTGACCCCGCTCGCGACAGAGGGGGAGTGGCACCTGGGCTACGACGAGCGGATGCAGGCACACTGTCCTAAACTACATGGGGCATAACCACTCCTGCCATCCACGGGAGCGTGGATTGGACATAGGGAACCGACGGAGGAGGGGGATGGGAGGGCGGCAGGGGTGAAGAGGGCTGACAGGAATAAGGGAGCAGTGATCGAAGCACTGGAACGAGGGTGATGTATTCAGCATGTTTTGCTTCCCTAGTCGGCGTGGCGCTGCAAGAATTTGGCGAAGGCGCGGGTGGAGTACGCCGTGGTCGTGTGCGACGACCCAGATCGGTTCGTGCTGGCCAGGTGGGATGACGGCATGACGTGGCGGGTCGTCGGCATCAAGGGTTCCGATTTCGTGCCGATCGACATCGGGAAGCCTGCGACGAAGGCAGGATCGATGGTGGCGTGCGAGGCGTTCACCAAGGATGACGTGAAGATCTGGGTGACGTTCTGCTCCAACAAGGAGCGCAAGACGGAGTGGTTGGCCATGTGGCAGAAGCTCGACAAAGGCCAGAAGCAGATCATGCAGCTGACGCAGTACGAGAACTACGAGGAGGCGAAATCATACATGAAGGCCTGCATGGAGCAGTTCGCATCAGGGGCCAAGGACAAGGCGCAGCTGGACGCAGAGAAGCGCGAGTGGATCGCGGCGCAGAAGAAGTTGCACGGGAAGAAGAAGCTGCACAAGCTGAAGGTCTCTGCGATCAAGCGCCCCGCTGCAGCGGATGCGGCGGCGCCAGAGGCATTGTAGGGACAAATCGAATGACCGGAGGTGGTATAGGGGTGGGCTCCAGGGACGCATGGTCGGGCAGTAACCACGGGGGTGTAATGCTGGGAGAACGGTTGGGGGCGGTGGCGGCGTTGGCGCGGCGTCGCAATGGCGCGGATGGCGGTGAATGTCATATGCGTGCGTTGTCGTATAGAACGAAGTATCGGGGGTAGTAGTTGAGTAATGATGGCGACGACGGCGACTGTAAGAGTGGCGTCTGGTGCGGTGGTGCTCAAGTCGGTTGTGACATCTGTAATGGGGGAGGTGGGACGACGATTGGGGTGACGAAGAGTATGAGGATGATGTGGAGGCGAGGAGATGAGGATGATAATGCAAAACATGTGGAGGAGGTGGGCACAACCTGGACGGTCGGCCGAATGCAAGCCTTGCCGACGAAAGATCGGCGTAGTTCATCCGAGGGGTCACAGGGGGGTTTCTGTGAAGCGGGGAATGAGGAGAGGAGGATGAGGAATCGGATCGGAGGATGACGAACGTGAGTGTTCCCGACGACGTATCCATCCGAGGTGGTGGAGGACGATGAGAAGGACGAGAGGGGATAAACTGAGGATGTGGACGAGGCAGATGGGGGACGTGGGGCTGATGACGATGATGGAACGGTTGAGGAGGAAGACGAGGAGGATGGAGCCCCAGTTCCCGCCCCGAGCCATGCAATGCCCGACGGCAGGCATTGCCAGCTCCTGCGCCAGCCGCGGTGACTGCGGCAACTGCTGAGCTCGCGCCCAGCACGGACGCGGTGGCGAGCGACTACGACGCGACGTCGGCGATGAAGAAGCACTCCCCGCGCAAGAAGCAGGGCTGGTTTCATGAACCACGCACTGCGCCTCCGGCGTCTTCGCCGCCCAAGCCCAAGAAGCAGAAGGCCCCGTGGGAACTCAGCCACGTCATCATCATTACCAACACCATCTGCGTACACGTCATCATGCACGTCCCCTGTCGCTGCCACTCACTCGTGCACGGCCTCCGCACGTCCTCGTTCACCCATACCCATCACGCATGACACGGGGCCCGCGTTGGAAAATCGTTGGAATTTCGTTGGAAGTCCACGTGGCCGCGTTGGAATTTCGTTGGAATTTCGTTGGAATGTCGTTGGAATGCGTTGGAATTGCGTTGGAATTTCCTGGATGATGTTTCGAAAATCGTTGGAACTGGTCGTATCGTCACGTCGTCGTTTCAAATGCTACAGTATATTATGCTACACGCGTCATATGTTATCATCGTTATTGGCCAGTACCCGATATATGTGAATCCATCCGAGACCATTGCTGATGGCGTAGGTTGCATTGATAGCGTGACGGTGGCGGCCCCATCGGTGGCATCTGATCGAGTTGTGATTGGCGTCGGTGGCGTCGACGTGCGCGCGTGTGTGTGAACCGACCGACGGCGATCGCGCGCGCCGCCAGGCGAGTGCGGACGCCGACCCGACCGCCAGCAACGTCGCGACGGCCGGCGGCGGGGGCGGCGTGGGCTCGGGGCTGTTCGACGACTTCGGTTTGTGAGGACAGCCGCGCATGCCGCCGCGAACAGATGATGAGGGTACGGAGAGGAGGGTTAAAGGAGGGGGATGGCGATGCTCAGAATGAGGGGAGCTGGGAACGCGGTAAATGATGAGGGTGGTAGCGCTGAGGGCGAAGGGCACGTTGAGAAAGAGGGGGTGGAGGAGGAACGGGTGACGGACCATATTGAGATAACTATTAGAAGGGTGACGATGACGAGTGCAACGCCGAGAAGGATGTGGATGAGGACATGTATGGAGGGATCGTCTGTATGAAACATCTAGAGCCCAAACACTGGTGGAGCGAGTAGGTGGGTGACGGGTGTAGAACACATAGTGAGACGCACGATGCGCGCGTGAAGCGTGACGCAGAGCATAACGAGTAAGAAAGGTGAGTCGGGGGAGGTGCATTGGGAGGTGTACGGTGCAGGCACTGTCGATTGCGATGGGGGTGGGGGGCTGGCGGCGGGCCGCCAGGCACATACATGTCGTTGTAGTCGATCGTCGCAGCCTTGTCACAAGGGAGTGGCACGGGTGGCAACTCAACTCAGCGTCCCTGCTGTTCATGCCCATCCCCATGCTCCCCTGCCCCTTGCAACATATGACGCTACCTTACATGCCGTTGCCACCCAATCGGTGTGTCACGTGTATTATTCGTATGCGTCGTGGTCACCGTTCCCTCGTCGGATTCGTCAAGTCGTGACGCATCGTGTCGTCGCGTCGTCGTGACACGGGTCAGGGATGTGACAGCAGTTGCCCGCAGCAGTATCTGCTTACCAGCTTTCATGAGCTTGAGCAAGTCCTTCGGCCTACTCCCCCGCGACGCGTGGCGCACGCCGCTGGGCCGATCACTCCAGAGAGCCATGGGCGACACGCAGCCAGATGACGCATCCGTGCCCGAGACGGTGCGCAGCAGCAGTGTCGAGCAGCCGCAGGCCCCCGTGGACGAGGGCGCACGCGCCGCCGAGAGCTTGCTGGCATCGCGGGTCGCAGCCCACGGCGGCACCGCCGACGACAACGGGGGCGATGAAGGCGAGCCGCCAGCAGACTTCGACAGGTCTCCGACGCCCGCGCCACCGCAGCCGAGTCCTTCGCCGCCCAGAGCGCGCAGAGCACGATCGAGGTCGTCTTGCTCGACAGACTCGGCCCCGCCCACGCAGCCAGGAGACCCTGAGCGCGATGGCATGCCCAACGGCGCGGACACCGCCGAGGGCGACGCTATCTACGGCAGGGGTGTGGAGTACTATGGCCGCTTGCCAGCAAGCAGCATCGAGGAGGCGGAAGCCATGCGCATCAGCGTGAACACCTGCAACGACGCCGTCGCTGCCAAGCAGAAAGAGCTGGCCGACCTCCAGGCCGCCCTGAACCGCAGCAGCCAGGAGTTCAAGGCCATCCATGGCTACTCGCCCACGCGCGACGAGGCGCCGAGCAGCCATGCGCGCGGGTCCAGTCAGCGCAGCCAGGCGGGAGGGCTCAACAGGGCTGAACCACCCATCCTACCATCATATGCCAATCATGCTGCCATCACTATATGCTCATATGTCTATTGTTGCAGTGGTCATCACCGTGATTCTCAACTACATCATCTCTGCCATCTCATCCCACATTGCCCCCTCCTTGCGCTGCCGCATCCACTCCCTCGACCCTGTCACTAACGACACTCGCTCGGTCAAGGCATGGTCCAGATCGCTCCCCTGATCGCAACCCCCTTCTTCCGTTTCCTCCGCGTCCTCGTATCTAGCTCAGACCCCTGACGTCGCAATCGCAGTCTTCGTCAGAATTGCAACGCCCGACGACAACGAACGCATCGACGATGACGACATGCTCGAATGTTCCACGCAGGCGCCAGGGCCGCCTCGGCGCCGCAGCCGCGAGGCAGAGCCGCGGCGCAGCCGCTCGCGCGGCAGGAGCAGCCGCCGCCCGCCCGACCTGGCAGCGGCGCGTGCTGCAGAGAGGCTGGCTGCTGAGGATGA